TTTATTTATTTTCTCTAAAGGTTGAGTAAAGTGCAAAAAATAGATTTTTCTTACAATTATTTCATATGTCAGGCTTCACAGGGTTCAATAAACTGATCAGTTTCACACAATTACGTGGTTAATCTTTGATCACAGAGGTGGAAGTGAAACCTGTGACTATTTAAAGAAAAGAGGCAGTGAAGCTGATATGAAGGCGTCCTGTGTCTGAAAGATCTGACCTGGACGAGCGTCTGCGTTTACAGCAGCAGCAGCAGCAGCAGCAGACGGAGACGGCCAGCAGCAGAGTCCCACACACCACCGCCATCGAGATGATCAGAGCCTCGAAGTTCACTGAAACAACACACAACACACAACACAGAAGAGCAGGGATGCTTGCTGAAACAGAGCCGTGTGTCGGTCACTACTGACACCTGCTGGACGTTCACTGATAGTGCAGGTGACCTAACACTGCTCTCATGACCCAGGAGTTGTGTAATTGTTTTTATTGTTAACACGTGACAGTGTGCAATATAACTGCATTATCTAGAATTATCCTTTATAACACATTCGGGTCTGTTTTGAGATGCATACAAAATTACTAAAAATGCATAGTTTTTAGCAAGGTTTTATGACCCACAAAATACACATCATTCATTTTTTTCTGTTTACAAACAATTTTTTAAGATATATAACCAGGTATATGCCTGTATATGTGTCAAAAACACTTTCTGTAAAATTATCTATGAAGTTATATCAGTGTCCAAAAAAATTTAATTAATTAAATTAAAATTATACAAATTTGGAAAAATATATTTAGCTTTTTCTTCATATATCACACGCTTTTGGGACTGAATTTTGTTGATGAACATGAATCTGAATCATCGCAGCATGAAAACATGATCACTAAAATGAGTTAAATAAATAAAAATAAAACTGAAATTTTTTTTAAATATTTTTTAAAAACTAATAAAAAACATAAAATAAAATTTCTGGAAATTTAACTGAAATTAGAATAAAAACTGAAAAAATGAAACAGAAGATAATTCAAAATATGAATAAGAGCTATAAGAGTATATAAATAACACTAGGTTTCACGGCTGAGCGCTCAGTTACACTGTCATTATTTATTGATATTCAACCAATAAATGCCACGAACAGCCAATCAGAATGAAGTATTCTAT